GAAGTACATTGGAGTATTCGACCTTAAACATAAACAAAGTTGATTGAACTGCCAGTACAAAACAGCTGATGAAGCACACTTATCATAGGGTAACCTTTCGACTAAAGAAAAAATAATAGCCTGCAGAATACAGGGCAACTTTCCATGGTTTAGTAACAAGTTCGGCTGGTTTAATTCACACAAAAAATGCCACGAAACCTATGTAATAAAATGTTATAACTTTTTTTAAATTGTGCCTTTCTATAAAAATACAGACTAGTTAATTAAATGTTATCATCTGCGGATAATAAAGCGACGGAAGCCTCGAAACGTCAAGATATTTTTTCCTTGTTTTAAGATTGCATTGGATTATTTTCACCTTCACAATCTCGAACATATTTACAAGCGATACACAGTCAAAAACTTTAAAGTTTTTGTTGCAGTAAATGCAGATTGTGGAGTTGAACGAACCACTGGATTCGCCTTCAAATAAGGCTCTGCCGTTGTGATGTTGAACCCAAAAATACGTTATAAAACCTAACATAAAGTATCATAATCCTACAAAGTAAATTGGAAGAATATATTCTCGTAAGATGTTTGTTGTGCTCGCAGATAAAAAACCCAAAACGGCTACAGAAGTTGTAGTGCTGTCTGCACTTTTAAATCTGGAAAGAATATCTTCTTTGTCAAACTGTTTGACTTTTGAGTGATTCTCAGCGGATAATTTTCGATTGATATCAGTGTGAGCCAAGTTTATTTACATTACAATTTCTTACTTACATGTTCGTCAATGGTTTAAGTCTCGACGTTTCTGTTTAAAAACAAACCATCAATTAAAAGAATAATCTCATTTTATGAAAGAAAAAAGCGATGAAAGTTATTTTTGATTGTCTCATGGGAATATTTAACGTTTAGATAGCAGAGAAAGGAATGCTCACGTCGATAGCAGAGAAAGGAATACTCACGTTTTCGGCCAACGTCAAATTTTTGTTCGTAAATACGCGCCATAAGAACGAACCTGCCCACGATTCAATATGAGCAGCGGCATTCGCTGACGAACCAATCAGAAGAAAGTTAAATCAAGGAGTGGCAAGTTCAAAACTGTTTGTTCTCGTGTTTTTAGAAGGGAGTTGTTTGTGCACATTTGTTTGGTAAATATTGTTAGATCTACCGATTTTATCCGTTGAATATATTTCTTTGGTTGAACGAAATGTCTGAGCATCCACGTAGTTGTATTTCGGACGGCGAAGAAGAGCCTGATGATTGTCAGAACGACTATCCTATCTGTGACAATTATGCCGACATTCGCAAGAATCTCTTATATGAATTTGATGTTGTCACAAAAGAAAAGACCTCTTCCGGAACTTCTGGGAGAGAATGCGTGAAGGTTTATTTACGAGCACGGCCATTTAGTAGCGAAGAACTCGAGGCAAACGAAGATCAACAATGTGTAGAGAGAGAAAGCCGTACCACGGTTTTGATGAAGGCGCCAAAGGAATCGTTCGCATTTAAAAACAGCACTCGCGCTGGCGGTGAGATTTCGCATCGATTTTCGTTCACAAATGTGTTTAGTGAGGATACAACACAGAAAGAGTTCTTCGATGAAACAACTCTTCCTCTTGTGACGGACTTCATAAACGGACAAAATTGTTTGGTTTTCACCTACGGGGTGGCAAACTCGGGTAAGGTAAGCAAGCTTTCTGTTTTGTTTGTACATTTTGTAACTGCGCGTTCAGTGAGCTGTAACTTCTTTATCTTCTCTCGAATGCTATTGGATTCATGATGGTGTTGTTCCGATGTCATTTACACGGTGATTTTTTTTTTTATTTTCGTTCAGTTGTTCATTAACTTTAAAACATCTTTGTTCACGGTATGTTTTTAGACTTACACAATTCAGGGAACCCCCAAAGATGGTGGGATTCTACCTCGAAGTCTTGATGTGCTGTTCAACAGTATAGCGGGAAAGAGTTATGAGAGAATGAACCTCAAACCAAGATTCTGCACAGATATTATTAGGCTTACAGATGACGAGGAACAGAAGGAGAATAATTTCAAGAGTGCGTTACTCTCGTCTCTCAACAAAGTGAGTTACAGTAATTATAGGCACTGTTGGGTTGTGAGGTAAGCCTTTGAGGTATATCAACAAAGTTGAAATGGTAAATTGGCCACCGTAACGATTACAAAAGCTGACGTTTCGAGCGTTAGCCCTTCGTCGGAGCAAATAGAGGAATTGTGGGTTTTGGGGGCTTTTAAAGGCAGAAAATGGAGCTACGTTATTGGTGGGAGCATGGCAACGAGAAAAACAGGAATAAATTAGTGGAATGAAAAGCGTTTGTTGATCCCTGTGA